CCTTCCTCCGACATGGCATTCCACGTAGCTCTGAAACTGCAGCACTACTTAATACTTAGTGACTGGTACTTTTTGAGGACATAAAAGACACTGAGAAACAAAATGTTTTATTTTTCTTTTTTCTTCTTTATCTTGGCGTGTTTGATAATCTGGACATAAACACAATATAACACTTCATATCACTAAAAATGTTCAATTAAAAACCAGGAAAAAAAACAAAAATGAGAGACTTCAGTAGTTGGCCCAAATTAAACCCAACAAATTCTTATTCTGATTTCATTAGAGCTGTTACAAAGAGTGCTTTCGGGATTAGATCCCTACATTAGATAACGTACCAAGAATCTGTTCCAAACAAATACATTACATAGCTTTGCTTATGTTATCATTATCATTTGTTTATCTGAACCTGATTATATATTCAGTTCACATGGCTGCATTCAAATGATGGGAAACAGAATGTATTTCATCAGATGTTTTTAAATTCTCCTCTCTTAGTGGAAAGGGACTTTAAATAACATGTTTTATTTGTTTGTTTAGCAGAAGCTTTTTATGTTCTATGTCAATATCACTTAAAATCAGTGTGGGCTTTTTTTTATTACAATCCTCGGCTTCATGTATAGTGTTTACTGCTCTGCAGTGACTGCTTCATTTGTTATGATTGAAAGAAGATAAATTTAACAGAAAACTATGGATTAAATAAATAATGGAGATTTATGTCTCTTCAAGTAACAACTGTTAGTGAAGAAAAGCAGTAATTCAAGTATCTCGATCGCAGAATATCCTAATGTTCTTAAGCTAAAATTAGATATAAAGATTTTGGTCATTTAAAATGTTCTCGTATCTTGATTCAGGTAAAGCAACAGCTGAACTTTTAGAAATGTGACTGTTTATTTTTCAGTAGCATTATCTGTGGAGAAATAGTGTAGGGAATTATAACTAAAAGACAGCCTAATCCAGCTCATCTTGTATATTATGAACCAGTAACAGTACCTTTAAAACAGTGCCTTTTTTGTACAGTAATCTGACTGAGTTAATACTGGCAGAAATAGACTGCAGAAGTCAGAAGAGATTTTGTTTTCTCTGGCTATTGAGAAATGTGGTGTTGTATTGCAAAACTTCATTAACATTATATATTTTTTCTTGCATATAAAGTAAGGAAAATGAATATTTCAGATGGGTTTAAAAAATTGATGTTTTCTTCATGCACAACTGCAATTTTTGCACATTTTGTTCTAAGGAAGACTGCATTGGGTTCAGTGCACAGCACAGACTACTAGATATATTTATATTGGTGGAAATATTTCATTTGCTTCCTAGGAAAATTTAAGACAAAATTTAAACTGATGAATTACCTATTGCTTGTTCTTGGTAATGAAAAGGGAAGTGAAAACATTTTTTTAAGAATCACGACAAAGCTATGAAGACCCAAACCACTCTGTGATTCTCTGCCCAGTGGATACAATTCTGTTTCTCCCACTGGTTAGAGTTTAAGCCATAAAGTGAAATCCAATTTTGATTTTATTGGAAGAGGTACCCAGTCTTCAGGAATTTTAAGTAATTATTGTTTCTTCAATTTTTCCAGTAACTGTGACTTCAAATTCTGTTATTTTATCATTTACAGCTTAGTAAAATTCATTGAGACCAATTTCAATAATATTCTTTGCTCTAACATCAATGGTGACTTCATCTTTGGGGATCCAAAAGGTTGTGTATAATAGGTCAGTAACTGGTATTTTTTGGTAACAAAATGGAGTACCTTTGAATTCTGAAGTGATTGTTCTCAAAGAATATTCAGGATTTCCCAATTTTTATTCATCTCTCTATTAACAAAGTTACCTCTAGACAGAGAGATTTCCTGACTCACATCTAAGGTTGTTCAGTTTGAAAGTTTGCTCTGAGGCATTTAGTTTATTTCTTTTTTTGCTGGATATGCATAGGATGTGAAAAATATTGGTGTAAGAATTTTGAGCAACTCAAATCTCTCCTGGATATTTCGTAATGATAAGTGTTACTGGCTTTGCCACTGTTAAAGAAATAGTATGGACTGTGAACTAACAGTGGTGACAAATGCCACAGGGGTCTTATAGACTATTCTGATTGCAAACTGGATGTTGTCATTCTCATCCAGGAAACCACTCCCTGCTGGCAATCCATAGAGCAATCATTCTCCTTAGAAATTCTGCATGTCAGAAAGTACTTTTTCCATCTTACTGGATTTATTGGAAAGTAATTATTAAAATCAAGGAGAATTCTCATAGAATCATGGAATGACAGAATTCCTCAGGTTGGAAAAGACCTTAAAGATCATAGAGTCCAACCACAACCTGACCATACTGCCCTAACTCTAACAACCCTCTGCTAAATCATGTCCCTGAGCACCACATCAAATGTTTTTTAAACACATCCAGGATGGTGACTCACCACCTCCCTGGGGAGCCTATTCCGGTACCTAACTACCCTTTTTGTAAAGAAGTTTTTTCCTGTTATCCAACCTAAGCTTACCCTGGCACAACATCAGGCCACTTCCCCTCATCCTGTTACCTGTCACCAGTGAGAAGAGACCAACCCCATTCTCGCTGTAAGCACCTTCCAGGTATTGGAAGAGAGCAATAAGGTCTCCCCTCAGCCTCCTCTTTGCCAACCTAAACATCCCCAGTTCCTCCACCTCTCCTCATAGGGCACATTCTCCAAGCCCTTCACAAGCCTTGTTGCCCTTCTTTAGACCTGCTCCAGCACCTCAATGTCCTTTCTGTACTGAGGTGCCCAAAACTGAACACAGTACTCAAGGTGAGGCCTCACCAATGCTGAGTACAAGGGTAGGATGACTTCCCTAGTCCTGCTCACCACACCATTCCTGATACAAGCCAGGATGCCACTGGCCCTCTAAGCCACCTGGGCACACTGCTGGCTCATTTTGAGCCAACTGTCCATCAGTACACCAAGATTCCTTTCCATCAGGCAACAATGACTTAATAACAAAATAGGGAAGTTAGGTTTTTTTAAAAGGTCTCCAAAGAATATATATGAAGTCATGTACATTTTTTTTCAGGGTTTTTTTTTTGTTTTGTTTTTACTTGAATGTTTTTGTTTTATATACATTGAAGATTTTCTTCCTGGTCTTCTTAGTATTTCAAGGGCATTTCTGGTTTAAAAATTATTTCGTATTAGTTTATGCTTTTGTAGTAAGCTAATGAAATTGCCAGAAGTAGTCATTATCACTATTGTCTATCTTTGTGCAGACTTCCCATTTTTGTATCAACATGATAAATTCAATGTGAGTTGAAGCCCAAAGACAGCTACCATCCATACCACTACCAGTCATGGTTTACATCACTAAATGATGAAGCACTGCTTCACGGAACATCTGCCCATGCAATTTACTCTAGGCTTGAGTTGTTGTCACCGTAACTGTTTCAGAAGTTATCCAGAGTTCAACCTTTTCCTAGGCTTACTTTTCTCTAGCTAGCAATCATCAGTATTGAAAAGAAAAAGCAGAGCCCACCCTGAAATACAGATATTTCACTTTGAACAATTCTGCATTCAAGAACACAACAGAAATAAGTGGCCTGTAAGAACTGAAGTCAAAATATTACACTTGTAGCTGAGCTATGGATGGAGGTGCTGGTAAACACACACAAAAAAACAAACTGATTCTGTACATATTTAGCCAGAGAAGGAAAGGAGGTACGGAAGTGAAGAAAGCAGGAAAAGCATCCATAAAAGTAGCTTAAGGAAGCAGGAGGTTTTTTTCAGTCATAGTGTTAGTTTTGAAACTACAAGAAAAAGAAGTCTTACTGTTAAATTTCTGTTGTGTCTACAGAAAGAATATGTGAGAGTCTGGGGGTTATTTGGTAAACAAACGCATTCAAATAAAACAATAAGTCACTTGTGTCATTATTTTTTTCCTTCTGATGGGATCATAACTAGTTACTGCAGAATTGTTCCTGCCTCCACCAACCAAAAAAAATTTCTGAAAGTTTAAAATGTGGATTTCTTTTTTAGTCATGCATACTCTTTGTTTCCTGATAATGTATCTCACAATCAGGACAATTAAAAAAAAACAGACCAGTTCTTTCTCCTTCTGCTTTGCTAACGTTGGTAAAACATTTGCTCATGGGCAGTGTTTAGGTGAATGTGCCCCCTACCAGTTTTATTTAAAACATCTCTGAAATTTTATGTCATTAATTTTGAATATTTTTTCTTGATTTACCTAATCCCATATCTCTGCGCAATTTAATTGATGGTGTCCTTTTAGTATCTAGTCTGTAATGCCTCTGGTAGATGTCATCGGTATATTATGGAATCTTACAGCAACTGCATGCTCTTGGCTACTTGCTTCATGTTTAACTGCACTGTAAAGATTAAAGCTATCTTAAAAGCAGTGTATCTGTTTCTACGCAGTCCAGCGACCCAACTCTAAACACTAGGGATAACATTTTCTTGAAAGAACATCTTCCAAGGAAGAAAGGATGAAGGTGATAAAAAATAAAATAATAATTAAAAAAAATAGATAAATGTTTGCACCTAGATGTGATTTGACTACCCTCAATTCAGCATTCTTCTAAAATATGTTTACTGTGTCCACATTAAAATAGATTACTTTTCACATGCTGATTTATAACATGTACCCTCAAGAAGTACCTGTGCACTAGGTTCAGTAAAAGTATTAACATCAAGAAATGTTTCTGACTTCAGTAATGGCAGTCAACGGTCATATTCTTTGCAAGTGCATATACTCAGGCAAATTTGCTTACCTTTATTTATCATCCTGTTCGTTTTTAACTTGTTTCAGCATCGATTTAAGTTAGGGGAAAAAAACCTCTTTTGACCTCCTTTCTTTTGAAAAAGACACATTAAATCCCAGTTAATCCCTGATTTTTGCAGGAGCCTTCTTAATTTTAAACAGAATGTTCTCTAATGAAAAAAGTATCTGACTATAATTGCTACTTGTTACTTTTTTGCAGAAAGTCATGGGGTTTTTTTTCCTCTTCTCTTCACAGGTGGCCATTGATGAGCGCATCAGGCAACTGCATGAAGCTCACAGGGATTTTGGCCCTACTTCCCAGCATTTTCTTACCAGTGAGTAATTTTCCATTTTTCTTGCTCAGCTTGCACACTCAATTAACTGTAGTTGTGTGCCAACCATAGTTGCTCTTAGTTTCTATTCTAGACCATATTAAAATGTTTTTCTTTTTTTATTGCTTTAAATAAGTTCACATAGTCCACAATAAAAGGAAAATGACTGCCAGTATCAGGTCTGTTTGCCCATGCATTTGTCATTGCCAACCTGTTCTTCATTGTTTGACAATTCCCCTTTAGGACTAATGAAATAATGAAAAATGAAATAAATGAAATTGTAACCCAGAAAGGATTAAGAAAAGGAAAAAAAAAAAAAAAAAAAAAAAAAAAAAAAAGAGAGGGAGAGAAAGTAATAATCAAATTTACTTTATCTGTTCAGGTTCAGAAGTATTCAGCTCCAAAAGGGACAAAATAAGGCAGGCAAGAAAAATACTTTGTCTATGGGCTTAGTAGGGTTTTGTCACTTAGCAGAGTAGTAAGAGGATCAAAACCATAGTGAGAATGTTGGCAGAAGGTTTGCAGTTAAGTAAACATTTATAACTCTGCGTAAAATATAAGTGCATCAGTTTTGCCAGTAACATTCCCACTCCACCTCCATTTGCACTCTTTCATCAAGATGTTTTGAAGTATGCTGAAAGGCAACTTGAAACACCTTCAAAGCTCTAAGGCAGCAACTAATATGACGCTTTTCAAAGACCATGTCTTTTCTATTGTACTTCAATTAAAAAAAGTAAACAGTGGAACTTTATTTAAGAGATTATATCAGCAGAACAGAACACAGTCACGGGATAATGGTCTCCTCCATGCAGAGGGACAAGCTATCTAGACATCAGAAATGAATGTTGCTATTATTGTACAGCTACATTCACAGTGGGGAAGAGGACAACCTTTTCTACGGCTGATACTGCCTTGTAATTTTAATTGGTTAAATGTGTTTCCACCAGCCAGAGTGAGAAAGGCAATGGAGAAAAAAGAGACAGTGACAGTGGGATGAATGGCAAATTTTAAAAAAAGAGTCTATCTTGTGCCATAAACGCACAGTGGTTCAGCCTTGTATCCTTTTTTTTTTTAATCAGATGATGGGTCTGGGAAGAAAGAAGACCAATTTCTTTAGTCTCTTTTAATTTTTCAAAATTTGTTTTTATTAGTTTTTAATTTCTGGTAATTAGTAATTTGCCCAGTGTGCATAACTGCAAGTCAGATTTGCTAGGATGGAATGTGTGAGAGTTATAGGTGTATGACATGAATGCAATATGTAGAGAGATGCCTTTTTCTTATTTGACATACAGTTTGCTCCTCAGGAAAGAATATTCCTCAGAAATGAAAAACGTGGTGTACATTAACCAAGACTATGTTGCAATTTGCAAGAGAATAGAATGATCCAAACTATGGTATTGTACTGAACATCACAGAATTATTCTCTGTGCCATTGCTGAGTGCAGCTTGGCAACTTGCGCGACAGGTAACACTCTGCTGATAATGCAGATGAATTCAGAAGTGCACTAACCAGATCCAGCAGACAATGAATATCATTCCGGTCACTTGTTGCCACTTGAGGATCGCTTTAGGAAATGGAGCCAGGGAAAGCATTCTGGCCTTGGAAACGGATAAATTACTGAGGGGAAAAAAAAAAAAAAAAAAAAAAGGCATATACATCCTGTGTATTTATTTGCTTGTCTCCCTCTGTCTCAGCTGTTTGTGCAAGCATGTGCAAATACATATTCATAAACGTACCTGAAAAAGTTAGATATTAGTCACTTGAGATCGTAGAATCGTGGAATTGTTTGTGTTGGAAGAGACCTTTAAGGTCATCTAGTTCCAGCCCCTCTGCTATAAGCAGGGATACCTTCCATTAGGTCAGGTTGCTCAAAGCCCCATCCAGCCTGGCCTTGAAATGCTGAAAGTATCCACCAAATCCTTGCCAAGTGTATGTGTTCAATCACTGAAAACCACCAGTGTATCTGTTGGCCTCATGTTCTGTAAGAATCAAATACCCAAAGCATAAAGTTCCTCAGTATTATGCATTATTACCATGCTCGAGGGAAGTATGCCTTTACATGCTTTCCAGACAACTCTTCTACATCCCTGCACTGACAGAAGCAGATCTATTGAAGAAGTAGCTTTTTAAGAGAGGAAGTGCCAAGGTCTTTGCCATCTGGCATTAGTCTTATTTCTGCATCGGTGCTTTTAGGGATTGCTGACCTGAATGGGGCAGGTCAAATGAAGCTGGATCAATAGTCTTTCAGTGCAGTGATGATAAACATAGTCCATTTGGATCAGACTGTCAGTGGCCATAACTGTGAAAAGATGACCCATGATAATTCTTATTGCTGGATTTATTCTGTATGCTCAACTCCCTGTTTTATATGTTCATAATCAGCATCAACTTTCCCTTTACCATACATACCATACATAGCATAGTACATGGGTGTGAGTGATGACCTTTCAGCTGTGCTTATGTAAGAAAAATGGGCCTCCTTCTTGGTACCTTGCTACCTTCTTTAATAGTTTTGCAAAAAGATTGGTATCATAAGCAAGTTCATATTCTGTCAGTGACTGATACTTCTCTCCCACTTGGAAGAAATATTATACACACTATTAATTTGCAGTTATATTTTTTATAAATTTAAATGTAGAAATTACAACATCATTCGCTTGTTTTTGCTTGAAGCTGCATAAGGCAGTTAAAAATATGGCACAGAAGTAGTGGGGAGTTGTACAGGACTTACTTATCATATCATATGCAGGCAGGAAATCGAGTGGTAGTTGCCATTTCTAAGCATTTACAGCCTGTTCTGAGAGCTGTTCCTATAACTTTTCCTTATCACTCTGCTAGCACGTGGATCTGTCCATTTCCAGGCCTCATGCACATTTTTGCTGGGCTCCTCAGGTCTCGATCTTCCAATCAGTCCTTCATGCTTCCCCAGCTCGTGCTGTGCTCCACAAGTTTCCACAGAATGCCAGCTCTTCCCCATGTCTTCTTGACTACTTTGCTGAGGACTGAGGCTCTCAGCATTAGCAGGAATAGTTGTTAAGATACAACTGGTAAATGTATTACGTATGCAAGACATATCATGAATTTATAGTTTATGGGTTTTGAAGGTTTTGCTGTTTAATTAGAATGATCTAAATTGGAATGTGAAAAAAATAGCAAAAAAAAAAAATATTTTTTTTCCTATAAAAGAGAAACTGGTAAATATTTAGCAAAGTCATTAAAAAAAAAAAATAAAAATCTGTGATTCCTTCATGGATGGTGGTGCTTAATTTGGAAGCTATATACAGAAACTGAAGCATGAAAAAGAATACTTACAACCCTACTTTGAGTGCAGATTTCAACAGAATGCCAACTCCAGAGTTTTTAATTACTTTTCTGGAATAATTTTACTTTTTTGACTACTGCTTTGTTTGTATCTGCGATGCTGCCTCTGGCAAAGAATGGGGTTCATTGTTTCTTGTTGGAGAACCCACCTATATTATCAAAACAATGTTTTTTGAGATTCAGTAAGTGAGAGGTACAATTTATAACAGATGGCTTTAAATATCACTTCCCATGCTAGTCAGTCTTCCATCAGTCCCTTTTGTAATGTGGTAGCTCACTCATGTGGATCATTTTTGAGCACTAAAAAATAGAAGATACTGCATCTTTTAAAGGCATAAGCAAGCCTCATAATTTACTGTCCAATGTGAGATCATCTGTTAGCATGTGCGGTGTGTCAATGAATGGCTCCACGAGCAGTGCTCAGATATAACTGGTAGGTACCTCTGGGCTCAACTAGCAGATCCCAGGTGCTGCTTGTGCTTCCCAGGCACCTTCAGGCTTCTAAGCAATAACAGCACTGATTTCAATGTGAAGTGAAGCAGCTATAGCAGTTTTCTTTCAGAAACAGAAAGACTGGGAAAGGTGGAGTCAACAGTTTGCATGAAAAGCTCATGCAGTCATTGTTTTTTGTTTAGAAGTGAAAAATATGACCATGGGAGTGGGCTGTATAGCCTAGGACTCCTTCTCTGAATATGCGGCTCAGATCTCTATTTTTCTCTTCCACATCTGGGCCTTTGTATAATATTTCTGTTATTTAGGCCACTCTCGTGAGAAACCCTGGATTTCTCAGAGTGCTGAGTGAGTGCTTAGATTGCTATGTGAAGCAAAGATGAGTGAAGCTCTCTCTTGCATAGGCAACATGACTGTAAAATGGCAAGTCCTGCTAATTAAGAGATCTGACTCTAAAAATGACAGGGTTCCAGGACTCTTAAGACATTCTACCCATTCACCTGAGAGATCATTTTCCAGTGTGAACAGCACTATCTTTGCCTTTTATTTCTCATTGCATATATTATCTTACATTGTCTTCCAAATATCGCTTCTTACATGCAGACATCAAAGACTGTATCCATTCATCCATGTCTGTGGGATGTATGATTTCATACTTTTAGAAATCACAGTGAATGCTTTGAATAGAAAATATTACCAAGGAATAATAAAAAGATGGAGGATAAGGTGTCTCAGAAGAATCAGCCAAATTCTGAGAACTCTCTGGAAGCACAGAGGTTTTGTAATAGCATTTGAATGTGGTCAAGCTAGCTAAAGGATCCTGACTGCTTTTTTTTCTACTTTTGTCTAAATACAAAGTGACTGCATGTGCTTCTGTTGAGAATTTGAGTACTGACCATTCCTTATCATCTCTCAAGGTATATCTTATATGACCCAATATCCACTATAATTCATTGGAATACAAATTTCTGAACAAAATGATAAAGTCAGTTCTCAAAAAATGATGTTCTCCCATTCTGTTCACCTGGAAGCACACATTTTTCCCTTGAAATTAATATCCTGTATTTCTGATAAAAATGCTTCTAAGAAAAAAGCACCGTAAAATGGAAACTAGAAGTAATTCATTCTAAATCTTTATTTGTGGTTTTTCCTTTGCCACCACTTCAGAATACTGCATGGTATTAATTTTAAAACAATGTTTTGTTTTGTTATCTGGAAAATTCCTGATCCG